GTGCTGTTTTGGACTCGGCCAAAATCGCTTAGGCGGTTACAGCGCAAATTAAGAAGAAGAAGAAGAAGATTTCTGCTAATTTATCCGTATCTGTAACTATCTTTATGCAAATGTGTTTAATTTTTAGCAAGTTTATGAAGGCATTACTGCATATAAAATGCATAAAAATTTCTGGTAAAACAGTTGGAATTTAAATTTCCTGTATTCATCGCGTAAACAGATAAAAAGTATTATCGAAGTTCGATTTTGGGAATTTAAAAATTGCTTTCGAAAGTCACTTTGCACGAAAAGTGCAGTTTCCGAACTCAAGAATTTTCAATACTACTTGCACTTGCCACGCACGAGGTAGTACCCTATTCTTTTCAAATATGTAATTCAAGAATATCTACTATCATCATTTCCACTTTTACTGCCGGAAGGAAAGACTGCTTATCATCAAAAGGATTGTCTGACTAGTAAGCTTTGCGAAACACCCGCTAACAAACAGTTGGCATCAAATTTCCTGTAAAGTGTGACCTCTGCAAAAAATTTAGACTATGCTTCGTTATCCTTGTTTTTGCAGCTCCTTTGGCACAAATATTCAGAAACCAGAATACACATTTCCAAATGTTTTCTTTGAATTCAAATATGGGGTCATATGGCGACTCAAGTTTCAGAGATATTTTAGCCTAAAAGTGTAAAAAACGCGATTTTTGCCCCACATGGGCAAAAAATCATCGGTAATTTTTAGCGCTTTGAATTGCGCTTTGTGTTTTTTTTTANGAGACTTTGATTTTTATGGTTTATCTTATGGTAGATTGAACAATATTTGCATAAAAAATTAATGAACAAATTTTTTCATGCATTCATGTGAATACTATATTAGAACAGGTATATTATATTATTAAACTTGCGATATACATATGTATGTACATACATGGATATTTCAATGGCAGAGATTCATGAAAGCGAAAAACTAAAATGTTATTTTTAAGTTAGTAATAGGGCTAAGTTGTTATAAGTATATTAAACCATATTAAAAATGTGTCAAAATACTATACTCATTCACTTAACATAGCTAGACTTGAATAAAAGTTCTGCCTCCGAAATTAAAAAGAAAAGTGAATACACTTCCTATAACACATGTGACGATGCATAATTCCATTTATCTTTTTGCAGATTGAGCCCCCACTTAATTCTTAATAGGTATCCTAAATTTAAAAAAAAAAAATAATAATTCTTTTGAGAACTTTCGCATACGTTTTGATAAGTCCGCCGAAGTTGTAACACGAGTGACGACTAACGTTTGGTTTGTATTTAATAAGTTATAAGAATTTGATTGAAAATGGTTCGTAAAATATCATAACGCCCATACATATATTTAAACAAGTAAACTCTTTTTCGTAAGCTGAAACATGCAAATAGTAATGTTACTACTCTTCTTATCTTAAAATTAAAATTGTTGTAATCACCCACACTCAATCCACCTACATGCATACATACATAAATACATATGTGTGTACACATGTGTATTTTTCATAACCCTTTATTGAAACAGGCGCCCAGACAAAAGCTTATAGTAAAAATACTGTTAGGTGAGATATGTAAATTTTCACGTTTATGTATGAATACTATACATATGTATGGATGTACACATTTATGTATGTACATACATATGTACACCATAAAGTCGGTAGTTCGCCGCAATGTTTTGTGTAATTGCAAATTGCAAATTAATGCCTGCCAAACTGCTTAACAAGCTTAAATCTGCGCAATGCTGTGCATCGCTCCAGCGCTTGTGGACAAAAAAAAGGAATAACATTACAAAAGCAGCTAGCACAAGAGTTGATTATAGGGAACCGGTAATTCGCATTAGAAATCAAAGTAGTAAAAAAGCGTGAAATAATTGCCACGACGAACTCAACAAACCAAAAGAATCAGTTAAACTAGAGCTACTATATCAGCGCTACGATATGTAAGCGTTCGATGTATTAAAGAAAGGTAAGGGAAAGAAGCAAAGCAATTGCAATAAATGTCAATGCAGCAGCCCGTTCTTTGCATTTACAATTGCCAAAAATAGTGGAATGGCTTGCAAACGACAAACCAAAACTCGCACTGCAAATCGACTACCAGCAGCGTGAAAGGCACGTAGTGGAGCGTTATTGCCTTGATTTCAATGCTTTCGTTGGAGTTGTTGTTTTGAGTGGCGTCGTTGTTGTCAACAAACAAATATACATAGGTATATACGTACACATGTACATTCCCGTGAATAAGCGCAAAAGGAGCTTTTTATCGTAGATTAGAGGCAAATGCCCATTTTGTCCGATGAGGGTCAATAAAAATGGGCAGTTGAGCGTCTTTTTTGGACTTTAACGCGGGCACAATTCTTGCTCTTTTTAACGAAGTTTTCTGCTTGTTTATTTTAAAGTTGTTTTTATTATTATTTTTTTTTTTACTTTCTATGAATGCTCTGCTTGTTGTGTCCACATTACCGTTTGGAGATGATTTGGCTGGCTTTTTGGCCTGCGGCGTTTTGGTTATTTGGTTGTGAAATGCAAATACAAAGATTCCCACGAAACCTAACGGTTCATGTGAGGATTTATTTTATGCATTACATTTTTTGCGCTGCTTTGCTATCGAACAGCAGGAGCTGCTGGCTTACAAGGAAAAGCGAATATTGCTAAAATTTTTTTTCATTTTTGGTAATAAAGTGCAATTCACACGTTCATATTGATGGCCGAAATTTGTTGCAACGCAAACATGTTGCTTAATATGTTTGTACATAGTACATGGCTACAAGGATAGTGAATGTTGGATTGTGCTTTGCACAAGTATAACTCGTACCTTAAAACCCGATATTTATTTTTGATAAGATTTAAAGGTACTTACCTTTGGTTTTGGCGTATGACAAACGTTGTAGGACCCTAACATATCTTCATCATCGTCGACTTCTTTAGCAGCGTTACCTCCACTACCACCACCTATGTCATAGTCCTCAATTACAGCACTATCTTCCACACCATATATTGCCAATGGATTGGACTCCATAGGCGGTGCGTATAATTTGTTTGCGCTTGGTGTAGCGTAACTGACACGTTTCCGATTCGCCTGTGCCAACTCTTTGTCGCGCTTTGCCTGAAACACTTTACGCTCAAATTCTGTTAAATTCTCCACTGTTGGCTCGGCACCATTTAAATTGGAAATACTAAAAGCCAACCATTGTTCCACATATTCGGCAGCGTCATCTATGCGATAGCTGACGCACAGCTCCAGCGCTGATGGAAGTAGATGCAAATAGATCAAAATAAACAAATCATAAATAGCAAAACGCATGTGTGCTAATTAAATGTGGACTTACATTTTGTGACTACATCTTCGCTGACCTCTACTCCCATTTCTTCGAATTGTTTTTTGATTTCCTCATCCATATTTAATTTCACTCGACTTACGGGAATCTAAATCGTTTAAATGCACTAAATAAAAGCAAAATAGTATACAAAGCTGCGAAATCTCAGATTTGTTTTGTTTTTTCAAGTGTCAAAGTATATGGATATTTCGCGCCAAAATTCACAGCTGTTGATTTGTCCGATTGTCAACTTTTACGTAGCGCGACATCTGTGTGTTCTATGTCAAATGATTTTCTGGCAGTACAGTACGTATTAAAATGAACGCCACAAATATATTTATGAAATAAAACGTATTTTTATTTAAACTCTAGTGTTATTACGATTTTATTTTATAGTTTTCACTGCGCGAAATGTTATGTTTGTATGAAAACGTCCATGGTGTAATGTCAGCCTGCATTTCATTTCTTTAATTTCTGACTGATTCCATAATTATTTTTAACACGTTATTAACTTTAGTTTAATATTAGTGCTTCATTCATGGTGTTAGTAACATTGAGAATACTGCGAATGTCGATAATTGTTCTAAAAGAATTTACTCAGCCTTTTAAAAGGCTTTTTGTTAGTATTGCACACAACAATAATGCTTTCCGCAAATACATCTGCATTCCGCCGGCGCAGGGTAGGTAATTGTCCAACTATTTAAAATCTTGAATAGGTCCAACTCATTGACACCTCCCACAGGTTACCATTGGTGTGAGAATTTATTGCTGAAGCTGGTAGCTAAGGATACTTCTAAAAATTTTTATCCGCTAACAGAGGAAGAAGCAATCCATTTAGGTTCCGCAATATGGGCTGAAATAGTAGTTTTTTTTCGGCTGCTCCAAAGCAGTTTTATTAGAAACCGAAAGGTAGAAGGATATTTAAAAAAGTAAATCATAACATTGTCCTTCTTTTTTAGGCTATCGAAAAAGAAAGATGAAGCAGAACAAAAAATAAAGTATCACAAGTAAGGTTTATTAGAAGCATTGAAGATTTTACAGCACCGGTTGGATAAGCAATACATTTTTATAGAAAAAATCATTGACGCCCTTAGAAAACTAGGTGGATGTGTCCTTTCTTTTAACATAATCTTTAAAAACCTCTTTTTATCCTTTCTAGGCAAACCAGTGGAGCGTCCTCATATTAACCATAGAAATCAGAAAGTAGACATAAGTTTCGCGGAAAAACTTATCTAGTTTTAAAACGTTGAGCTATATCCCAAGTTCCTTATTCAAGTTACTCAACCGCTATGATTTATATCGTCGTTTAAAGTACCGAACCGCATATCAACAAAATGCAAAATGCAAAACCGCATATGTGAGGTTGCATAAATTATTTTTTAGAGAGTAAAAACACTCATAATTCAAACTGGTTCTCTTTTTTATAAACCAATCGCATTTCTGGCTAGTTTATTTCAGGACGAATGGATAAGGATTGAGCCAAGAGCTTGTGTGAGCAAATCCAATTTTTGNGGGTTTTGTACTTTAATCGACGATATAATTATGCTGAACCATCATGCTCCACCCTCTTCAATTTAATTTGTCTCTACTCAATTTGTTTTATTTTTCAATACATTGTCAGACTAAAATTTACAAGTTTTCATACATATTTTCTTGAAAATTTTAACACTAAATTATTTTACACAAAATGGTACTGATAACATTGCCAATCATAAAGTTAAGTTTCTTAGGGATACAGCAACTTTCTCGTCCTGTTATCAAATTGATACGTTTGGAGGCAAAACAAAGCAAGACCTTTAGAAATTACATTTGTATGCCAGCTGCTCAATGTAAGTACCAGAAATGTAAAAAATCATTTTGATTCAACAAATGAATCCTGAAAAATACAAAGTGTAATTTCCAATAAGACTTTGACAATTTTATCCTTCGTTCCCCCGAAGGTTATCACTGGTGCGAAGTTAGGCTAAAGATGTTGCTATTAAATTTAGGCAGACCGGCTAAGGTGAAGCCACTTAACGAGGCAATGGCCGTTGAATTGGGCACTGAGGTATTAGG